TGAACCTTCTTCAAAATATTGTTATATCAACAGGATTGACTGTGGCATCCCCATATTGTGAGATCAGGAACCCAGAGTTCCAAAAGTCCACAGGGTTTTTCATAAGAGGACTGGTCTTAGTGAAGAAAATTATTTTGGTCTCGTATGTTCTAAGGCCCAACTGATCTAGTTGACAATAGTTGTCAGGCACTGCAGTTAAAACATTGTGCATAATTTGGAGGGGAAGACGAGATAATATGAACTTTATGCTTTAATATTTGCTTCATTCCCTAATTTTACTTTAAATCAGATTTTAACATTTAATATTAAAATATTATCTTTCCCACATAAGCTTGTACAGAGCAAGGAGACTGGTAACACATATTTGCCTGAAGGAATGCAGTAACCCTCCCAAACGGTTACCTCTACAACTTATGCAACGTGAGGGGGGGGGGGCTGTCAATATTGCAAATAAAAGCTTCTTATATTGATAATCACTAGAAAATGATAATAGAAACTATCTTTCCTTGTACAGCAAGTCTCCTGGTTAAGTGTGCCCTGACTTAAGAACAACCCATGATTGAAAACAGAGACTATTATAGAAAAAATTGAGTTAAATACACAATGATTCAAGTTAAGTATACAATGGTTCATTACACAGTATTATATACTAAAACTGTATCAGATTAGATACAAATTAGACCTAAGGACAGACTACTTGTACTACATTCTGATCTTCTAAAATCATGCCATATTCACACAACAGTTACCTTTCCAGGTCTACATGTAATGTCCTTGAATGAGTTGTATGTATCTGACATCTCAAGAATAGAGAACTATTAAGAACAATGCTTGACACCAAATGATATAAACTATTGGGGATTTCCTTCCTCTCTACATTTTCATTCTTGCAATCAAGCCTCGCAACTTTTTAATTGCACTAGACTGTACTATACTTACTGTACGCTTTTTTTTACCTATAAAGAAAAAGTTAATGCATTTTATAAGAACCATAAGAATTTACAAATTAGACAAAATTGTGGATTTTTTTCTTTTCCATATTTTCATTTTTAGTTCATGTCTCAGAACAGAAAGTAAAAATGAAATACTCATGACTAGAGGCAGAAGGACATATAACCATTTTGTACTGAAACTAAAATTTATACTATAAGTTGGAAGATACACTGTAAATCCTTGTGAATTACTTGAAGTACTGTCTTAATTTATATCAACTTATCCATATTTTAATATCTGGATCAGAGGGCTTTCTCTGTGACCTTTCTTTGAGGGTTTTTTAATTGTCAAAACAAGACAGAAGGCTCCTTCAATAAAGCTCTCACACTTATAGTACATCTTACCTAATGTTCTTCATGCCACACATTTGTAAGAAAGACTCAAGACTTCTATTTTGAGTGAATATGTTTTCAGTTCAAAATATTTCCACAACAGATAGGCCAACATATTCTTTAGTTGAAAAGGCTGTTTTAAACCACAGAGTAATATTCTTGAAATGGAGTGTTTCAAGTTTGGGATGTTTCAACTTCAAATTAATGTGATACTTTTAAATGATTTTATTACAGTGACTGCTTTGACTTTGTTAATTAGTGCTACAATTTTAATATTTTATATTTAATTTATAGATAAAACATAGTTGGACAACTATTTCTCTTTAAATGTTTTAAATAATAAACCTAGAATGATTAAGAAGAAAACATTCAATTACACATTTTATTCGTGTATTAAATGTCTATGCCATTCATCTTACTGGTAAGCAACTGGCAGATATAATACACTTTTAACTCAATGTATCTGAAAGCAACACTCATTCACTTTGAAAATTAACCACAAGGCTAACATTCTTAAAAATAATTTTAACACAATGACTTTAAGAAAAATGTTACCATATTTTAAACAAATTATTAAAATTATTTAATGGCTGTTTGTACTGTTATTAAAACAGCAGGAATGAACAAAACTATCCTTCTGTAGACAATAAAATTTATATTTGCTATATATCAATAAACATTTAAGAATTAAAACGTTTGGGACTTATTCAAATTAATTAGACATGTGTCACTTTGAACTGTGTTATAACACTAGGGACATGCAGAATATATATTCCTCATTCTGTATCTCTAGGAATGTGAAGGAACGAAATAGAATCACAGGAACAGCAAAATCTTGGAAGTCTACTCCACACCCCTGCCCAGCATAGGAATCTTCCTCCCAATGAAAACGTCTAGTACTGAAGCACCCATAGGTCTAGGGTCAGGCTGTTCCTCCATTGAGAAAAAAAGGAAAACTCAAAGCACACATAGATATACTTTAATCTCCAGCTATTGAACTAATATGAGAGTGGGAGCAGTGCAGCTTCTTCTGCTATAATTAGGATACATATGCAACTGCTGTACAGAAATAAGGCAAATTTCTATTTTCTTGCTAGAAATCTCACTGAAATTAAATCTTATTTCTAAGGTAAGCAACTACTGTATGCAATAGTTAACGGTATCCATTTTGAAATGACAATATCCCTTCCAATAATTTACCAGTATAGTGCCCAGCAACCTTCTTTAATCTTGTCTCACTTCACTCACATCATATATTGGACTACAGCTGCTAGAAAGTTTTATTCCTCGTCAGATCTTACACAATTCTCTTTTAATATACTATGCCTTGCATATGTGCTTCAGACTCAAAATAGACAGAAATCGTACACTGACCATGCACAGAATCCTAGCTGCTAGGAGCTATAGATTAATACATTTGCAAGGCAACACGTAAGGCAAGGCAGTCCTACAAAGTTTTTAATGTAGCAGAATTACATTTATTGACTCAAAATAAGTCAGCACTTTATCTTCTCAACCTTGGCAGTTTTTAAGATGTATGGACTTTAATTCCAGAATTTCCCAGTCAGCGTCCTAAATCTGCCAAGGTTGAGAAAGACTGCTTTATCCAACCCTGAAAAAAGAATGGCATTCTGAATCTTCCATTCACATATAGCAACTCTGAAAAGCATTTGAACTCTAGACAATTGTATATAGATCTCTGTTATTCATCTAATTGAAATATTAATTCTTTATGGATCCAAAAACCAAAGAGCCCACCACTTTGGAACAAATTATGTTTTAAATGCAGTTTTGTCATACGTAGATATATTTATATCTATATTTAATCAGGAGGGATATACAGGTAGTCATATAGTGACCATTCAAAGTTACAAAAAAGTGATTTACAAGTGGTCCATGCACTTACAACCGTTGCAGCATGCCCACAATCACATGATCAAAATTTCAGCACTTGGCAACCAGAATGCATTTACAACAGTTGCAGCATCCCAAGGTCATATGATCACCATTTGCAACTTTTAAGGTTTTTTCCAACAAGCACAGTCCACAAGGGAAGCTGGATTTGCCACAAGATTCACTTAACAGCTACAATGATAAACTTAGCAATTGTGGCAGAAAAGGTCATAAAATTGGATGTGATTCACTTAACAACCATCTTGCTTAATAACAGAAATTCTGATCTCAGTTATGGTAGTAAGTCAAGGATTACCAGTGATCCATTAGTTTAATTTACAATAATTTCTGTGAATTAATTTTATAGAGCTTTCTGTTCAATGAGTTAAAGCATGAAACTTCCATTGTACTCTCTATTAAAGAAAACCTATATTAAGGTATGTAGCTAAACAAAACCCATACACATCCCCTGTAGTTCATACAGTTTTTAGGAGTACTTTTATGAATGTTAATTTGTGAATTACTGCAAAAACTTATACAAAGTTTCAAAGAAATTTATGACAGTTTGAAATTCTATAATACTGTCTATACGTTATTTGCTCAATACAGGTAATCCTCTACTTACAACAGTTTGTTTAGTGACCATCTGAAGTTACAGCAACACAGAAAAAAGTGACTTACAACCATTTGTCACACTGATTATTTCTGCAGCAGCCCCATGGTCACATGAGCAAAATTGAAATGTTTGGCAACTGGTTCATATTTATGACGGTTACAGTGTCCCACAGTTATGAGATCACATTTTGCAACCTTCTGACAAGCAAAATCAACAGGGAAGCCAGATTCACTTAACAACTGTGTTACTAACTTAAAAACTGCAGTGATTCACAATAAATGTAGCAAGAAAAGCGGTAAAGCAGGCCAAAATTCACTTAGCAGCATATGCTTTGGGCTCAATTATGGTCGTAAGTCGAAGATTACCTGTCTTAATTGCAATTGCGTGTTCATATTTACCACCTTGCTTTTAAAATAATCATCTTCCCTCACTCAATCTCCGAGCCAATTAGAGCACTTATGTTTGTGTTATTCATCTCCCGTTTCCATAATATAAAAGCGGGTGGCACTCAAGACTGGCTCAAGCATCTAAGCAACGTTTTGAAAGATCGAATACTAGGCGGTAAACGAATTTTTCTCTGGTTTCACGCCGAGCTCTTCGTTACATCTGTACAGGAAAAAGGCCAAACACTTCCTCTTCGCTCCACCCCATCTCTCTCCTCAAACTGGCGCACATAGACACAATGGGAATGCCCACTCCGCCGACAGGAGGAGTGTGACCTAGCGCGCAGATAGACGCGCAGCGGCGAACTTCTACTCCCTTTCTTTCGGGCTCTCCCTCACTCCCCGCCCCACCTTTTCTGGCTACACAGCTGACCTTAAGTAGCTCTGCAAAGTTTCCTCCACAACGTAGATCACGGCAAACTAGGCCGTTTCTCTGAGGGCTAACAGGTTTCATAGGGCAGAGGGAATGAGCTTCATAGGCAAGGTAGGCCTCGGAGGTCTCGTGTCACCCGCTGCAGCTTGGCCTCACACATGCCGGGCCCAGGAAAGGGAGGGGGACCCCAAAACCCGATAATTCTTCCACTCAAGCCCGTCCCAACCGCTAACGCCTCCTCAGAGTTCCAGTTAGGGGCCGTGCCAACAGCCGCCTCCTCCCATCCAAGAGGCCGAGCCCTGCCGCCGGGCCTGGCTGCCCCGCGCTCGGCCGCCGGACTCCATTCTCACCTCCTGATTGAAGGCGTTCACTGCCTCCATGTTTGTCGGTCGGCGGCCTACGCTACCGCGCGCGAGGAACTGAAAAGTGATCGCCGAACGTCGTTTTCAGCAGCGTCCCGCCTTCAGGGCCTCGGCGCTAACATGTCCGTTTTGGCGGCAGCCCGCAGCGACTCGTTGGCGAAGTTCTCGCACAGACCGTCCCTCTCTCCCTCTCCCACTCTCTCCAGCGGAACGGCAAAGTGCACGCCGCGAACAGCACCCTGGGACAGCAAGGCCTCCAAGCCTCGCGCCACCCATCGGAGGAAGGAGACCGCAGGACAAAAACCATAGACACACGAGTGAGCGAGTGCGCAGGCGCGCAAGGAAACGCATGCGATTGAGCTTTCTTATTCCTGTTGTCGGTTTTGTTGGGCTACTTCCGAAGACTCTCTTAAGGGTACCCTGCCCTTGGTTAATGAACATTTTGATGACGTCTTCACGTGAAGAAGAATAAATACGAATATCAATTAGCACTTAAATAATGCACACCGGTTAAAATAAAAAAAGGCGATTTTTTAAAAACATTCGGTACTTTTTCCATTCTTACAATTTAAAAACGTCAGAACGAATGTTGTAATTCTATGGACCGTTGGAAATGAACCCATTGCCGGTGGGGATAAGGTGCTTTAGGACAGGTTTTCTGGGTCTACCAATTCGAAAAATTACACATCTGCTGAATCACAGCCTCTAACCGGAGGTTTTCGTAGATCAGGTAGTCCTCGACTTAACAGTTCACTTAGTGACCGTTCAAAGTTAGAACAGCACTGGAAAAAGTGACTTTGATTACCATTTTTCACACTTAAGACCCTTGCAGCATCCCCATGGTCACGTGACTTACTTTAGGATGCTTGGGAACTGTCTCACATGATGGTTGTGGGGTCCCAGGGTCATGGGGTTGTTGTGGCCCGCCAGCAGCCAACGGAGCTGGCAGCGGATTCAGATAGTGAGGAGGTTGAGGAGCAACATGGGCCAGTCCTGGAGTCTGAGGAAGGTTCTGATGAGTGCTCTTTGTCAGAGGCAGAGAGGGGGGCAGAGTTGTAAGCCAGTTATCAGCTGCCTTCAAAGTCAAACAACAGTGAGGCAGACAAACAGCTGGGGCCTGTTCCCAGTGTGCACCTGCCAAAGAAATTATCTGAGTTCAGTTCCAAGTGGGGAAAAAGACACTGGAAACATGGAGGTTGTTTGGAAACATGGTTTAATGGTGGACAGGATCACATGGTTTGAGTTCCTGAACAGAAAATGGGGATCACCATGCTTCCAGATGTTGGGTGAAGAAGAGAGGAGAGAAAAAGGGGTTTGCTGAGAATTCCTGAGTTTTTTATACACTCTGTTCGGCCCACCTCTCTGTTTCCTGTTCCTGTGTAAGAAATGTATTCTGATTGGTTGTCAGACTCCTAGGGGCGCGGGGGGGGGGGTTCCTTAGCTAACTTTGTAGGTGTGTGTTTTTGAGTCCCAAGCTTGGTTGAGCATTACTTCTTCCCAGATCCCCTGTGATGAGATGGGTAAAGGGCTAATACTATCATGCCTTAATCCCACTACCCTGCAGTTGGAGGGGGATCCTTGTTATGTAGAATAGACTAGCTCAGGCATTTTAATGGCCCATTGACAAAGGTGGGGGATATTAAGAGTGAGTCTGTTTCCTACCTAAAAACATGTTTCTCCATTTCTTATCAAGGGAAATATAATATTCTGCCTTTTCAGTATTTCCTAGGATATCTCATTTTTCTAGGAGAGGAGTGGCTGCTAACTTCCTATACTACATTAGTCCCTTTGGTACAATATTGATGTGATTCAAATTAAAGAAAAAGTTCTAATATAGTAGAAATGCATTGGACTAATCAAATAACCATTATTTCCAAAGTAAATGATTTTTAGTTCTGTGATATTTTCTCCTTTGGGTCCAGTTTTCAAGAGTAGCTACAAATAGAGGATACTGCAGTGCTCAAGTTAGTACATATTTAAGGCAGAGAGAAAAATTGCCAAAACAAAACAGTTTGTTCAACAGTTGCAACTACATTCCTTACTGTAGCCAGCATTAATATTTAGTGGTCGTTAAGGCTCAAAGAGCACCAAATTAGGAGCAATTTAGCCTTGTTTTAATTTATTTTTCCTTTGCTGTTTTACCCAGACCATTATGAAACATAAATATCATTCAAAAATAGTTATTGCTTTTTAGAGTTAAGATTGCAAACGGAATAGCAGGTTAGAATTATCTGTATACTGATGGCATACTACTCTGAAGTGCTCCAAAGTTTCATGGAAATACTGACCAGCATGAAACTCGAGATAATTTACACCAGCAAACCCTAAGAGGAGGATTGGAAGGATCACAAAATAGTGGTTCCAAGGCCAAATTCTCCCAGGCTATTGTAGAAAGTCACCATCCACCCATCCTAGAGAATGAAATATTTTGAGGAATATTAAAAAAGGCAGGATAAAATATTTCCCCTAAAGGAGAAATGGGGAAAAATGAGGCAGAAACCAGCACCAGTCTCCGGCAGAAACTGAGGAGGCCAGCTTTTAGAAATGCAGATTTGTTAATCAATTCAGAAAGACTGGGTCAGACAGAAACTCCAGATAAGAAATTAGGCAAGACAAGATTAGCTCAGACACACCTAGGATTTACATTTCCCCCTTTGTCTATAAAGCCAGTCATGGCTAAGGTGACCAGACGTCCCATTTGGCGGGACAGGCACACTTCTTCATAATTTTTCCCGCGTCCCAGGCCGTTGTCAAAAGATCCCGCTTTAATTTTGGCGCCTTCTTTGATTGCTCACTCCCCCGCCCATCCTCTGCTGCTCACATGGGCGGCGTAGTGTAGCGAGTGAGTGGGCGGATGGGCGGGGGAGCCTTTCCAGCCCCACTTCCACCTGGACAAGCCATGGGAAAGCCTCCGCCTCTTCAGGGGCCGGCAGGTGAGGCAAGCGCAGTGGCCGGAGACTCCCCCGCGGGACCGCTGTTCCCTCTAAGGCAAGAAAACACCGCGCAGCACTTTTCAACTCCCGCGCAGCTGCAGTGATTTGTTTTGATGAGCACGGGGCGACAGGACTGACGGTAAGCCCCTGCCACCACCGGACTAACTGCTGCTGCCTCCTCCTCCTCTAACAGCACTGCCGGATTTGCTGCCCAGCGCTGCGGCTGAGGTGAAGCCGGCAAAGCTCCCGCCGTGCTTTTGAGGAGCCTTGAGGCCACGGGAGCCAGTAGGAAGGCGGCGGAGGGGCGGGACCAGGAAAAAAGGCCCGATGGCTCCTCAAAAGCATGGCGGGAGCTTTGCCGGTTTCACCTCAGCCGCAGCGCTGGGCAGCAAATTCGGCAGTGCTGTTAGAGGAGGAGGAGGCAGCAGCAGTTAGTCCGGTGGTGGCAGGGGCTTACCGTCAGTCCTGTCGCCCCGTGCTCATCAAAACAAATCACTGCAGCTGCGCGGGAGTTGAAAAGTGCTGTGCGGTGTTTTCTTGCCTTAGAGGGAACAGTGGTCCCACGGGGG